TCTGCTGCGCACCAGCCACCGTGAGGGGTGATGGTGGTGTGTGTGTTGTTGTGTGTGTGAGTGTATTGTATGTGTTTTGTGAGTATGATGTTGTATGTATGATTTTTGGCCGGAAAACCCGTCACCACCACCGTGAGGTGGTGGCTACCACCTCACGCCGCCACCAGTCGCCATGTTGGGTGGCGGTGTACATTCGTGTGTGATTGAATTGTTTTTTAGATGATTGGACAGGTTTTGGGTTTAGAATCATAACCACCACCACCACCACGAGGTGGTGGCTGCTGTCGTGAGCCGCTGCCGACCACCACCGCCCGAGGTGGCAATGGGTGGTGTCCGGCCTAATGAAACCCTAATCAACCTAAAAACCTAATTTGGAACTTTGTTGGCACGTAATTGGGTTGGAAGCCTAATTAGGGTTTAGAAAACCCTAATTTTGAATATGTTAGTTTGGAATTATCGGGACCCGCGTTTTGGGTCATTGGAATTGAATAATGACTTACGCCCGACCACGCCGTATGAGTTACCTAGTAGAATGATGGACTTAATGGATTAAGTCCTTAATGGGTTAAGTGTTTCCAATTAACCCTAATCGCCATTTTATGTGAAAACCCTAATTTTGTTTGGGCCTTGAGTTGGGCCTTTCTGTTGGGCTATTGATGGGCCATCCAAGAACAATTACATGGACTAGAATATTTGGATGAGCTTTAGGGTAAGGCCCATGTGAGGGGTTTGGGCCCAATTTTCCAAATTGGGCCATAAATGGGCCATATGTTGGGCCTTGATTTATTATTTGGCTTTTGGGCCTCCAGAGTTTGAGTTTGGGCCTTGGCTTTGGACCAAGCTAAGTTAGGGGTAAAATGGTCTTTCTACCCCAAGTATGGACTTATGGTTATGCATTGAAACCCAAATGGTTAACTGGGTTTTGTTTTGATGTTGACGGTTCGGGGGTCTGTCAATCAGCAGCCATAGATTTATTCGCGGGACTTCAACAGTGCGAGGTGAGTCTCCTCACTGTTTGTATGGGTCTAAGGCACCAATGCCGACCCATTTAGTTTATGTATGGTAGGAAGACCCGGGGGTTAGCCCTAGGCACTATGTATGAAAGACCAGGAGGCGGCTCCTGGCACAATATATGCTATTATGTATGGTAGGAAGAACCGGGGGTTAGCCCTAGGCATTATGTATGAAAGACCAGGAGGTGGCTCCTGGAACATTGTATGCTGATCTGCTAAGTAGAGTAGTATGTATGCTAGTTGTCTTTGTGATGCTTGCATGGAAGACCACAAGGTGACTCTTGGCACTTGTCTGTAAGACCGAAGGGGGTGACCCCCGGCTTGGCAAGAAAGACCACGTGGCGGCCCGTGGCATAATGACAAGACTATGTTTTGGCACATAGCATTTTATTTGATTATGATATATGAACGATATGTATGGCTCACAGTTATGTATGGTAGTATCCGGTTGAAAGAGACCGAAGGGGTAGGCCAGCACCCAAATATGCTAGGAAGTATGTTGATATGTATGGTATGTGGTATGTGGGGAACCCACTAAGTTTCGTGCTTACGGTTTTCAGTTTTGGTTTCAGGTACTTCCAGTTTTCAAATGAAGGAGCTCGGGACGATCGCAATGCACACACATATGTTTTCCGCACTATGTGATTTTTGGGAATGAACTCTGATAAATGTATTATTTGAACTGCTTTTCAATGTGTGAACCAAGTTACAAATGTGTTTTAGTTATATTAAAAATGAAATTTTTTGGTCATGAATTTTGGGATGTTACAGACATTCATTCTTGCATATCATACATAATAGGTTGGACCGAATAATTTCAGTCCGAAATAAACCATTCCACAGTAGGTGGTTATTTTATAAAAATAATAATTAAGTTGTTAGTTTCTTTAAATTGCTCACAAGCTTGTTAAAATCACGATCATGCTCGTTGAATCGTATGATCCTACGATCCCACCTAGGTAAATCGGTCCCGATCTTATTTGGATCGTTTTTCGGTAAGATCGTGGTAGGATCAGACCGTATTATTATTATTATTATTATTATTATTATTATTATTATTATTATTGTTATTATTATTGTTATTATTATTAAAATCGAATATTTTTGTTGAACTAAATATGTAAAATATGTCTTTTGAATTTTTTATCATTAATGAATTTTTTATCATTAAAATCGAATATTTTTTATCATTAAATGATCGAGATCTTATTCAATATCGTTTTATGTTTTGCAAGATCGTGATCGTAAAATCCTACCAAAATGAACTCATATTCAAATTTATTTGTAAGGTATTGGGTGTGTAATACACATTATAACTTGATGTTGATTAAGACGTCGATATGATCTTAACTTCAAGTTTTTTAAACATGAAAAATAATTATTGTTGATGCAAACCGTAAAAATTAGGAAGAAAACATCTTAATTACAAAAAGAAACAATATAATTATGATTGTGTAAGGCTTAACATTACAAATGAAATATCAAAAGTGTGATATGTCTAATTCGAAATGAATCGATGAAACTTTATGAGGCTTCATGCAACTTATGATGCTCAATAGATCTTGTTTCAGATAAATCATAGTGAGATTGGGATTGTTTTTTGCTTGTAGGATCTTAAAACAGAGGCCGATCCAAGGGGATCCCGGGGTAGCTCGGGATACCCCTCAATTTTTTTTCGGTAGTGTAATTTTTGTTTACGAATCCTTCATTTTTTTCGGTATAGTGTATATATATGCATCCCTTCAATTATAAACACAAACAAATAGTAGAGCTATTGGTTAAGGCGTTGACTTATTAAACTAAAGCTCTCAGGTTCAATTCTTGCTCCTTACATATTCTTTGTTTATTTTTGTTTTATTTTCCCAACTATTCTATCCCACATCGCCAAATATATGTAAACTCAACCATTTTTGTCTATTATATAAGCCTCTATTCTATCCCACATCGCCAAATATATGTAAACTCAACCATTTTTGTCTATTATATAAGCCTGTTATCCTCATACTTCATTTGATATCTACCTTGAATCCCACATTGATTCAAGTATCAAAATATACTTCAATTTCATGTTTATATAACAAGACTTGAGGTTAGCTAAGGATTCGATTAAGGTTTGGGTTTAAAACCGAAACTGAACCGGGGAAACCCAAGTACCCCGAATTTTTTTTTGGGTTACCCTAAAAATAAATTGGGATACCCCTTTACTTTGATCATGGCTCCGCCACTGATTTAAAAATCGTTAGATTAAATCTTAATAACCATGATTTTATGTTTTAAACTATTTATTGTTAACTGATAGATGGAAATATATTTTCTATAATTTAAATTGATTTTGATTTTATGATTCAATTCAATCAATCTTACGATCATGATCTTATAAAATAGAAAAACGATCCTACAAACAATATTTTAAAAACCGATTTTTTAGTTGAACTGATATGGTGACCGGTTCCTGGTTCAACCGGTTCGACCGCCGGATCAACCGATTTCTATACTTTTCATGTTTTTCCTATTTTCCTACATATAGATACATATGAATTTGATGTTTACAAGTTCAAACATTAAAAATACACATAAAAATAAGTTGTAAATGAAATCAAATACATTAAAATAACACATAACCATAAGTTTTAGTGTTTACATCAATCCATATACGTCAAAAAAAGTATAATACCGAAACAAAATATAGTTTTAGATGAATACAAACACATCAAAAAACTTTATAACACTTACCATATGTTTTTAATTAGAAAAAACTAAATAAATTTAAAAAAAAATCATCAAAGTTTATTATGTAAATGGTTTTTTTTCATGTGTTTTTATTCAGTTTAACTGATTGTTTATTTTGACCGGTTCAACTGAGTTTTTCTAAAAACCTGTCGGTTCAATCCGATTCAGAAATCAACGTAAAACCGATGATAGTCGAACGCTCCCTCCTCCGGTTCACGGTCCAACCGGTTTGACCGGCCGATTCAAACCGATTTTTAAAACACTGCCTACAATTAACTGAGTAGTTAAGTGATAGATGGAAATATTTTTTTTATGTTTTAAACATTTGTTTAATTTTAAATTTCATATAGAAAATTGGTTTTTCTCTCATAAACTCTATTTTTTAATTAAAAAAAGAATAATACTGGTCCCTATGATTTGGGGTAATTTGCACGTTTGATCCCTAATTTATTTTTTAATTCGGAAGGTCCCTACTGTTTGTTTTTGTTGCGCACTTGGTCCCTGTCTTATAAAAAAAGACTATTTTACCCTTGATTTTTTAATTTATTTAAATAAACACATCCCAACCCCACTTCCACCTCACATTACATTACCTTACCTACACCACTTTATTTAAATAAATTAAAAAATCAAGGGCAAAATAGTCTTTTTAGGTAAGACAGTGACCAAACGCGCAACAAAAACAATAAGTAGTCACTTCCTAGTTAAAAGAAAAGTTAGGGACTAAACATACAAATTAACCCGAACCATGGGGACCATTCATGTAATTTACTCTTAAAAAAAAGGGTCCGACTCTGGTCCCTCTCTTACTCAAGCGTTTGCTTGTCTCTCGCATCCTCCCCTCCCCTTCCCTCCGTCGTCTGCTTCTGCTGCCGCACTCATCATTTCCCTCCGCCCCCCTGTCCCCACATCCCCGGTCTGCTCCTCCTCCCCTATCCGGTTTGCTGCTCCCATACAAGAAGACCAGCAGCAAAGGTATGTGGTTTATATTTGATTCACCGTATTGAAGGGAAATTGGGTATTTCTCGTAATTAACCGATTCTTATTCATGGATTGATTGCTGTTATGTGTGTTAGTGAATATGAAATAGATAGAAATTTACAATTGTTTTGAAGATTTGGTTAGTCGAATTTGGAATAGCTACATCGATCAGCGTTCGACCTTACTCTTTCATGTCTTTGTTAGGGGGACTAAGAGTAAGTCCTTAGTCCCCAATACTTGAGCTGCAAGTTGTGACATGAGGTTTTAGCGAAGATAATGAGTAGCAGACTTCAAAACCCATTTGTTGGGGCAGCTTTCCAATCCTCCTTAAAGCCAAGAAACTTGAACAGTTTGGGTTATCTTGGAAACAAATTTCCCAGAAAATCTCGGTATGATATCATTCCACGTGCCAAGAAAAACGACTGGATATCTCACGGGATTAGGTTTTCACAATCATGCGGGGAAAATGTTGAGATTTTATGGAAGAATATAGGAGTAAGAAGTGGGTTTGTGGTGAAGTCCGTGAAAGAGCCTTTCACTAGAAGCAAAGCTATAGTTAGGTCATTATCCACAGTCTGGGAGGAAGGTTTGCTTCTATTCCGGTGTTCTGTTTTCTGTGCTGTGATATCTGGGGTGTGCTTGTTGTTATGGTACAGTCAACTTAAAGCCAAGACATTAATAGAATCAAAGCTTTTGCCTTCAGTTTGCACAGCATTAAGCGATTATATCCAACGTGACCTTCATTTCGGTAAAGTTCGAAGTGTTTCTCCTTTGAGCATTACATTGGAGTCATGCTCGATTGGGCCTCACAAGGAAGAGTTCTCTTGTGGTGAGGTCCCGACTCTAAAATTACGTTTTCACCCCTTTTCAAGTTTGAGAACTGGAAAGATTGTAATTGATGCAGTTGTGTCTAATCCCACATTGTTGGTTGCACAAAAGAGAAACTATTCGTGGTTAGGGATACCCTTTACAGATGGCGTTCTTCAGAAGCATTTGTCAACTGAAGAAGGTATTGATAATCGTACAAAAATCAGAAGAATTGCTCGAGAGCAAACTGCAGCACGGATGGATGAAGAAAGAGATGATGCAGCTCGAGAGGCTGCTCAAATGGGGTATATTGTTTCCAATAGAGGATCTAATGTGTTAGAAGGTGTTGATGTTTTGAAGAAGAATACTGTAAATTCATTAGTTTTTTCTGTGGATGAGAAACTTCGTTGGCAGGATCATCACTGCATGGATGCGGGTGTAGAGTATGATATGAAACATGCGGATTTGGAAAAATCTTTTGGTGTAAATATACCTATTGCAGGGGTGAAATTCTGGTCGCGGATTATACCTGGATCTTTAAGGCGTAAGCTTAAGAGAAGGAAGGCTAATGGGGGAGATATGCTTGTTGCTGGTATAGCAGCCAAAAAAAGAATTTTGGAGCACAGTGCATCTGCAGCACATGCATACTTCCTGGATCCTATTCCTAGCCTAGTTCACAAAAAGGATGAGAATCCCAATATTAAACTAGATGCTCTTGATTCGTCTGACAAGCCTGCAGAACATTTCGGGACCAAATCTCTACTGAAAGGTAACTGCTCAACCCCTTTTTTATTGTTTCAATAGAGTGCTGTCTGGATAATTGATGTCTGAGAAAATGATGCCCAACTTGAGGAAATGAAAGGAAAACATAAATGATGCTGAGTTTGTAAAAGCCTCACTTCCATGAATTTCTCTATTATGCCATATCATGGTTTTCGCATCAAGTGAAAACATATATATTAATTCCTGTTCGTATTATGTCAATGAAAAGAAATCGCACGTAATATATTTGCTGAATGATAACTGCTAAATTTTTTTTTTTTTTGAGTTAAATTGACTTAATCGGGTAAGCTATATATGGGTGTTTCTATACGACTTAATGCAGAAAGAACAAGTTAATAGAGAAAGTCAGGGAAAGGAGAAGTCCTAACTTTTTACAAGTTTTCTCTCTTTCATTTTTTTCTTCCATTCCCCAAGTTATCAGATGGTGGGAAAAAAAGTATTAAGTAACAGGGCCAAAATTGTTTTGAAGCTAATCAAGTGAAGTATCGTCCTCTTGTGATGTTGGTAAAACAGAATGTTTTGTTATATAATAATATAATCATGATGAATGTAGATGAAAAGAGGGGCATGGGAGATGTGTGGTCAAACTTGGTTGTTGGTTCCATTGAAAAGATTAAGTCAGAGGTTGTCCCAAAAGTTGAAGGTATTGTTGTTGAACTTATGGAAGGGGGGGCTAATGGCGAAAAAGCAGCAGGAACTGAGAAGATGCTTCCTGTTATTCTGGATTCTGTCCATTTTAAAGGTGGAACATTACTGTTGCTTGCATATGGTGACAATGAGCCCAGGTAAATCTCAAGATGTGAATGCCCTTGTGTTAGTCCTAAGTCTTAAGCTTATGTGGGTTGGGTATTTTACAGAGAAATGGAGAATGCTTGTGGACATGTGAAGTTCCAAAATAATTACAGTCGTATCCATGTGCAACTGAGTGGTAACTGTAAGATGTGGCAATCGGAGTCGGATGTAACATCAGAAGATGGTGGCTGGCTGTCTACAGATGTTTTTGTTGATACAGTCGAGCAAAAATGGCATGCCAATCTCAAAGTCGTCAGTCTTTTTGTTCCGGTAAGGTATTAATAGCTTTGCTTCATAGAAAATATATTTCCATTTTTTTTTCTTTGGCTAAAAACTTGTGCTAAATCTGTTTCTTTCTTTTACTCGTTTTGTTTTTTCTGCACTGCAGCTATTCGAAAGGATTTTAGAAATTCCTATTGCATGGTATGAAGGAAGAGCTAGTGGTGAGGTGATTCCCTCTTGACACTGTTTCTTGTATTCTCTAGTTTTAGAAATAGCTACATACTTCCATTTATACTTTCTGTTACATCATTGTACTTTCAATTTTTTTCTTAATACTTTGATAAATCTACTTTAATTATTATAGCAAATTGCTTTCTATTTGGATGAAAGTACATTATGTAGTCCTTTTAGATATTCCTCTTACTTTTTTTTTTTTTTGAAATCGAACGAGGGAGCAAGCATAGGCATAGCTATTGTTTCTTGTATTGTTTAGGTTTATTTGTATATTGGTGGGATTCCGATAAGGGGTTTATTTGTATGCAGGTTCACATTTGCATGTCACAAGGAGAAAGCTTCCCGAATCTTCATGGACAGCTTGATGTGACAGGGTTGGCTTTTCAAATATCCGATGCACCATCTTCATTTTCTGTATGTCCCATTTTTACAATTTATAACTACAATTTCATCATAATTACCTTTGTTTGATATGCATCCCCCTCCCCTTTTGTAGGATATATCTGCAAGCTTGTGTTTTCGGGCTCAACGAATATTCTTACACAATGCGAGTGGTTGGTTTGGCAAGGTTCCTCTAGAAGCTTCTGGAGATTTCGGAATTGAACCAGAGGAAGGAGAATTTCACCTTATGTGTCAGGTTCCTTCTGTGGAAGTAAATGCCCTGATGAAAAGTTTTAAAATGAAACCTCTATTGTTTCCGGTATGTATGTTCATGTTACTTTTGAGTAAGCTAATCTATTATTCTACAGATTTAACAAATGTGTCCTATCTCTGTGGTTGAATGCAGTTGGCAGGATCAGTGACAGCTGTTTTCAACTGTCAAGGCCCTTTGGATGCTCCAGTATTTGTGGGAAGTGGGCTGGTTTCAAGAAAGTTATCTAGTTCGGTTGCTGATGTTCCTACATCACCTGCCTATGAGGCAATCATGAAGAATAAAGAGGCTGGTGCAGTGGCAGCATTTGACAGGGTTCCATTCTCTTATGTATCAGCCAATTTTACTTTCAATACTGATAATTGTGTAAGTTGCTCATACTTTTTTCTTGTTAAATCATTGAGAATTAAAAATCATGTTTCATACAACATAGAACAAACATTTTGCAGGTTGCAGATTTATATGGAATTAGAGCAAATCTTGTAGATGGTGGCGAGATTCGCGGGGCAGGAAATGCGTGGATTTGTCCAGAGGTACTTATCGCTTCTTGATAATGCATCATCTTCTCTATCTTAGCATGTAATATATTTCATATTGTTTGTGTACACTTACTTAATGTAAGTACCTGTGGGTTTTCCATTTCCCTTCTGTTGTCTTCAGTTTTGTAATCGTTTATGGCTTCAGATCATTAAATTTATCGTCAACTTCTCTGTTTTAAGGTCTTATGGTGGAAAATGAAATTCTATATTGGCTCCATGATCCGATCTTGGATTTTCTATTTTTTTACAGGGCGAGGAAGATGACACAGCAATGGATGTGAACTTTTCTGGGAATCTATGCTTTGATAAAATCATGGATCAGTATGTTCCTGGTTATAATCATCTTGTACCCTTCAAGTTAGGGGATTTGAATGGAGAAACAAAACTCTCTGGCTCATTGCTCAAGCCGTAAGACTTCAACCACATCTATTTTTTTTTTAATTTTTTTTAAGCAGAAAGTAACTAAAGAAACAAACATCTATCTCATTCGATTATCGTTTTTTTTTCTTATTTTGTAGGAGATTCGATATTAAGTGGACTGCACCAAAAGCCGAAGGATCATTTGGAGATGCTCGAGGAGACATCATTATATCGCATGAAAGCATCACCATCAGTTCTTCATCCATTGCTTTTGAGTTGTTTACAAAAGTTCAAACATCTTACCCTCACGAAAACTGGCAAAATATAAGAGAGTTTGATGCCACGCCTGCTGTGATTATTGAAGGAGTGGAGTTGGATTTACGTATGAGGGGCTTTGAATTTTTCAACTTGGTTTCCTCGTATGCATTTGATTCTCTAAGGCCGATTCATCTAAAAGCAACCGGAAGAATCAAGTTTCAAGGAAAAGTTGTTAAGCCTGTTATTAGCATTTCAGATGAACAACAAACAAATACAAATGGTGAGAAGACCAAGGTGTCAAAGATTCTTGCCGGTGATGTTTCAATCACGGGTCTTAAACTAAATCAGTTGATGCTAGCACCTCAGTTAGCTGGAGTGCTCAACATCTCACGTGCGTGTATTAAGGTCGGTCTGTCTGTCTGTCTCTACCTTTTACCTTTTACCTTTTATTTTTTTTCCCTATCAAGTCCTGCTGTATTGGTAAAGTGGCTGAATGGGTAATGATGTCTGTCTGTATCCATAAGGTCTGTTTTTAGACTGAATAAACCATCTGAAGGTTAGGAGACTGAATGACCATTTTTACTTGTACATTCCAACAAACAGTTTTCATAATCTTCATCCATCAATTTCAATGTGAGAGGAGTTGGGAGGAAAAAAGAACATGGTTAGTGCCTTAATACACTGATCCATGTTTTTGGTTTAAGTAAAACAGAAACAGCCATGTATAGCTGTCCATATTAAGTGCTTAACCCATTAAGCCCTTTAAGAAAAAAAGAAACATCCCCCTAAGTTGGAATTAATAGGGACAAGCTTATTTTTCCCGGCTTGTCTATTAAGTCAAAAGGAAGCATCCATACGTAGCTTACCCCATTAAATGCAAACGAAACATCGTTCATCCCATCCCACATGCGTTTTGGTTGAATGATGTAGTAACTGTAACTACATGATTAACTTTGGTTAGGGCGAATAATAAAATAAATAAACTTTAAATTCTGAAATGAATGCAGTTGGATGCAACTGGCAGGCCGGATGAAAGTCTTGCAGTTGAAGTGATTGGATCCATTGGTGAGGAGAATGCAATTGGGAACATGTTGTCATTTTCTCTTCAGAAGGGGCAGTTAAGGGCCAATGTTTGCTATCAGCCTTTTCACTCGGCCAGTCTAGAGGTACTTGCTGGCTGCTGCTCTTCTCTTCTCTTCTGTGCACCTATTTGATTTGAATCACCAATAACTGTAAATAATTATCTCCATCTCGTAACTTATTTGTTTGAATTACCACTTAAAATAAAAGAGATAATGTCTTACGATTGCCTCTACTAGTTTGAGATAAAAGGTTTTGCTGGATTTTGCTTATCGTATAACTTGTCCAACATTTGTGTAACAAGGTTCGTCATTTACCACTTGATGAATTGGAGCTGGCATCACTTAGAGGAACATTACAAAGGGTAAGCTCGTTTCTCTTTACCTTGATCCAATGCACCTGTAAGCATTTCTATGTACAGTGGGGTGATGTTTCTTGTTGACTTAAGGGAGACCTAATGTGGACAGGACTTAATCATCCGGTGACCTGTATGTATATGAGTGTTTCTTTTTGACTGAATGCAGAAAGAATGACTTAATAGAGAGAAAATCAGCAAAATAAGAAACTAGTTGCTACTTTCTGAGGAATTATCCTTTTTCTTTTTGGTTGTTTTTAGTGGTCAATTTCATTCCCTTATTGTATGTCTAGTCAACAGCGAACACTTAGTAGAGAATGGTTGGAGGTAATTGCGACTTGTGAGGCACATTAAGATTAGGTGACCTGAGTTGGGTTTTCTTGGTAAATTGTGGTTTGTTTGTTTCAGGCAGAAGTGCAACTTAATTTCCAGAAAAGAAGGGGCCATGGAATCTTATCTCTGTTACATCCAAAGTTCAGCGGTGTGTTAGGCGAAGCTCTAGACTTGGCTGCTAGATGGAGCGGGGATGTTGTTAGTACTTGAGTTAAACCAGATCTTTTGTTTCAAATAATAATAATATGTGTTCCTTTTCATAGTTTAATGTTAGTTTGGACTTTATTGAAACTGTTCAGATAACTGTTGAGAAGGCTGTTTTGGAACAAAGCAATAGCCAGTATGAACTTCAAGGGGAATACGTGTTGCCCGGGTCACGAGCTGGAAAAGAAACAGGAAAAGGGAACTTACTTAGAAGAGCAATGGCTGGCCATTTAGGAAGTGTGATATCTTCTATGGGTCGCTGGAGAATGAGGCTTGAGGTTCCACGTGCTGAAATTGCTGAGATGCTTCCACTTGCTAGGCTTGTTTCCCGAAGTACTGATCCAGCTCTTCAGTTTAGATCAAAGGTTGGCCTTGGCCTCATTCCTTTATTAACTTTTAGTCTATCATTCATTATCATTTATCATGTGTCTCTGTCCCATCCAAACCCAAAAAGGTCTCTTCTAAACCAAATGTCTATGCAAACCCAAAATATAGCAACCACAGCTGTAATGTGTTTTCCAATCCTAATCCTGTTCCTATACCATAAGAGAAGAGTAGGATTGAATCGATCTAGATGTTGTAAATAGGGATTTTCTATTCCATTACTATCAACCAATTTGCATTGCAGGATCTTTTTATGCGAAGTATACAGTCGGTGGGGGTTGATGCTGAAAGTCTCCAGAAGCTTCTTGAGGTAATCGTTTCATTTGCAACCAGATTGAGTAATTTACTTCCAAAAATTCCTATTACCTTGTCCATGTCACCGCTCACTCACTCACTCCTCTGTCGTCTCTGAATCTTGATTAGTTGATGAACACAACACAACATACTTGTACTTTTAAATTTTAATACGTGATGTTTCTTTTTTATCATCAACATTTATGCTTTGAATGCTGTATGTATTTAATGGAGTTTTACAGGAAATTCGTGGGCACGCTACCCCATCAGATGAAGTTATTCTGGAAGAACTAAACCTTCCAGGTCTGGCTGAGCTTAAAGGCCGTTGGCGTGGATCTTTAGATGCAAGTGGCGGAGGCAATGGTGACACAATGGTATGTATATTTATTTACCTTCCATTCCATCTAACTAAATGTTTTTTAATAAATATTTACATAATATGTGAAAATATAATTACTGATTACCAAGTTTTAGTTTAATTATGTGGGTGCTTATTATATATAATATTTATGTATCATCTTTTTTTTCAGGCAGATTTTGATTTTCAAGGAGAGGAATGGGAATGGGGAAGTTACAAAACTCAGCGTGTCCAAGCAGCGGGGGCATACAGCAACGATGACGGTTTGCGGCTGGAGAAGATGTTGATTCAAAGAGACAAGGCCACAATCCATGCAGACGGAACTTTATTGGGCCCAAAAACCAATCTGCATTTCGCCGTCCTAAATTTCCCTGTTAGTCTTGTCCCCACACTCGTACAGGTTCTAGAATCTTCCGCCAATGAAGCTGTCCATTCATTGCGCCAACTTTTAGCACCCATAAAAGGAATCCTTCACATGGAAGGTGATCTAAGAGGAAGTCTTGCAAAACCCGAATGCGATGTACAAGTAAGACTCCTCGATGGTGCCATTGGTGGCATTGATCTTGGGAGGGCTGAAGTTGTCGCCTCTTTGACTTCAACTAGTCGCTTTTTGTTCAATGTCAAGTTTGAACCCATTATACAAAATGGTCATGTGCATATTCAAGGAAGTGTCCCCGTCAGTTTCGTTCAAAATGATGAAGACACTCATTCTCTTCTTGAAAAGGATAAAAATGAAGGGACCTGGTCTTCTTCTTCTTCTTCTTCTTCTGCTTCTGCTTGGGGCGCCAAAGGGAAAAATGATGATAAGAAAGCATCTTGGAATGAAGAGGGTTGGGATACCCAGTTGGCCGAGAGTCTTAAAGGTTTGAATTGGAACGTGCTGGATGCTGGTGAAGTTAGGGTTGATGCTGATGTCAAAGATGGTGGCATGATGTTGCTAACTGCATTGTCTCCTTATGCTAATTGGCTCAATGGAAGTGCCGAAGTTATGCTTCAGGTTTCTCATCTCTTTCACTTCTATTCTATATGCATACTGTTGCTCTACCCATTTTCACAATTCATCTAGTGTAAATAATATACAGAATATGAACACAATTCATTTTAGGACCAAAAAATACAATATTCATTTTCCTGGTAACATGTTTAACCGCTTACAACATGGTTGCTTACTGTAAAAAAAGTGAACTATTGTTTGCTTAAGTTTGGTAAAAAGTGAAACATCGTTGCATAAATTGGTAAAAAAAACTCCCTAACATTGTTGCATAAATAAACATTTATGGAATGAAACATGGTTGCATATTTTGGTCCTGGTTACAACATATCCTATTTTGGTCCTAGATTGTATATTTTGTCTAAAAACCCACTTTGCTGCACTTACCCCTTCTGAAAAAATCTTGTGTCTGAAAATATGAAAACATTCTACGTTGAAATGTAAGCATCCCTGACATTGTTTGGCAGCTGATGATAGTAGGTTTGTCTTTCGGGCAAAACACAGAAAAGTACTTGTGGTTTCTCCATTTTCTCGATTTAGCCGTTTAACTATTTTCTCTAGTGATTATATATATATATATATGTCTTTTGAACATTTAAAAAACCATTTTTATGCTTTTCCCGGTGTTGCAAAAGAGCAAAATACAGATAAGCACAACATAACGATTTAGCCATTCAACTATTGTTATAACAGACAGCTAAATCAATCAAATGGTGAAGGCCTCCTTTCAGTATTTTGCTCTTTTTCAAAACCAACCAGAAAAAAAATGGTTAAAAAAGTATAATGGTTTAATCACTTGAGAAATTCAAATTAGTTAAGTGACTAATTGTATGGATAATAAATAGGTGAGAGGTACGGTTGAACAACCAATGGTGGATGGATCAGCATCCTTTCACAGGGCAACGATATCTTCACCCATACTTCGGAAACCACTTACAAACTTTGGGGGCATAATTATCATGGATTCTAATAGGTTATGCATCAGATCTTTGGAAAGTAGAGTAAGCAGAAAAGGGAAGCTCTCGGTGAAAGGTAACCTACCCCTCAGGACAACCGAAGCATCACTTTCTGATAAAATCGACTTGAAATGTGAAGTCTTAGAAGTACGAGCAAAGAATATCTTAAGGTGTGTGAGTGTGTTTTGTTTTCATAATTCATCCAAGTCACTCACTCACTCACTCACAAGGGTAAAATGGTCATTTACTAATAAGTATCTATCTCATTCACAGTGGTCAGGTGGATACTCAGCTACAGATAATGGGGTCTATATTGCAACCCAACATTTCTGGGAACATCAAATTGAGCCATGGAGAAGCTTATCTACCTCATGAAAAGGGTGGAGGAGCTGCTAATGCTATAAACCGAGAAGCATCGGAGAATTCAAGCATGCCAAATGGTGGATACAATCAAGTGGTTGCTTCAAAATATGTCTCACGTTTCTTAAATTTGAAACCCGCAACTTCAGATACCCCATTTCAGTTTCACCAGCAACCTTCAGGTCTGTGTCTGTCTGAAACCCTTCTTTATATATATTCCAGTATTTGTTCAGCTTTCTTCTTGTTATTTAAAGTAAAAAAAAAAAAATACACACAATAAATACACTAAGGCCTTGTTTCTTTGTTTTATCCCATTAAGTTAAAAGCTGTCTGGAGAAAAAGAGATAGCGCCAGTGGTGTTTGACTAGTGGTATATGAGTACCATGGAAATTGTAGAAAGTTAGTTAGGAGTTAATGGGGAAAGCCTCTTTTCTTTGTGCAGTGAGTCAAAAAGAGACTCTCTCTCATTATTGACTTACAGGAGGATTAATTAAGTTAAGTTGATCTTTATTCTTTGTGCATTAAGTCAAACATAACAGAAGAGAAGAGTGATATATAATATAAGCAATCCCACCCTTGGGATTCTGATTGATTGATGTGAACTCAAGTCAAGGGGAGAAGAAAGAATTGCAAGTTTTTGTCCCACTGAACTGAACTGAACAGAACACTTGGTGTTGGTATTACAGGTAAAGAGGGTGAAGCTGGAAAGGGAATGGGGGCAATTAAATAATAATAATAGTAAACCAAAGTTTGATATTCGGCTGACGGACTTGAAGCTGGTTCTTGGTCCAGAGTTGAGGATAGTTTATCCTTTAATTCTGAATTTTGCTGTCAGTGGTGAGCTTGAATTGAATGGTGTGGCTCACCCCAACTTACTAAAACCCAAAGGCACCTTAATGTTTGAGAACGGCGATGTCAATCTTGTCGCAACACAGGTTCTCACTCTCGTCTTTCTTAATTTCTTCAGTTGGGTGTCTGTGTTTTTCTTAAATGCAATAAATAGCAATACTTCCATGCATTTGTTAATTAAATAATCCTACTTTCTACTTTGAAGAATCTAGTCATCCCAATTTTCACTAGTATAATTTAATTGGATGGCTTTCTCAAAGTATAATAATGTCCTAATAAATACAATGCTAATAGAGGATTTGGTGGTTTTTTAAAGGACAATGCCTTAATAGGAGAAAAAAATTTATTAATGATAGTACACTGCTGAGTGCTGAGTGCTGAGTGCTGTGCTGTAATAGAAATAGAAAGATAATTTGTTTATTGTAAATCCTTGCTGTTTGAAAAGTCTACCAAGTTATAGCAATGTCATCGAAACACAAGGCAGATTTCACTGCAATAATGGAGTGTGTTTTAAGAATAGAGTATCGTAATAAGAATAAATTGAAAGCACAATGCTAAAATGCAATGACGCAAATCCAATGAGAAATGGATGTAGGATGTTATACATATAATTCAGAAACTAAATGAAAGTATGTTTATGTTTCTTGCATTTAATGGGCGCTTTCTTGATAATAATCTGTTATATATATATATATATATATATATATATATATATATATATATATAGGTGAGGCTTAAGCGGGAGCATCTGAATATAGCGAAATTTGAAGCTGATAATGGATTGGATCCGATGTTGGACTTGGCTTTGGTGGGATCAGAATGGCAATTCAGGATTCAAAGCCGAGCAACTAAATGGCAGGACAATTTGGTTGTCACATCCACACGATCAGTGGAACAAGAAGTTCGCTCGCCCTCTGAGGTAGGTAGAACTAGAACTAGAACTAGAACTAGAAGTAAAATAAACAAATATTCATTCTTATTAGCAATTAAAGTTAAGTTGTACTATATGATACTTATATGAATTTGGTATTGTAGGCGGCCAGAGTGTTTGAAAGTCAACTGGCGGAGTCCATCTTAGAAGGGGACGGTCAACTTGCATTAAAAAAGCTTGCAACGGCAACTCTGGAGACTCTAATGCCGAGAATAGAAGGGAAGGGGGAATTTGGACATGCCAGATGGAGGCTTGTGTATGCACCACAAATCCCCAGCTTGCTTTCTGTTGATCCAACTGTTGATCCCCTAAAATCAATAGCCAGCAATATCTCCTTTGGTACAGAGGTGGAAGTCCAGTTGGGGAAACGCCTTCAGGTTCACATCACATCACATTTAATTTTCATTTTCTATTCCGTGAAATGAAATGAAATTCAAATTCTGTGTGTATTGCATATGCATTGGCAGGCATCTGTGGTGAGACAGATGAAGGATTCAGAGATGGCAATGCAATGGACGTTGATTTACCAGCTTACAAGCAGATTGCGTGTCCTTCTACAGTCCGCCCCATCCAAGCGTATGCTTTTTGAATACTCCACTACATCACAAGACTGAATCTGTATTCACTACTGCAGGCCAGGCTGGCAGTCTCCTTAGGTTAGGGATATATATATATATATAATTTTTTTTTTGTAAAAATGAATCTCAAGATTTTTTCCCCTCGCTTTCATTCTTTGCTTTGCTGCATCCCTCCCTCTCCAATACGTACATGATTGAAAAGAGAGAGATCTCAAGTGTAAAAAATGTGTAAATATGACGGACATTATTGTTATTATTGTATATATGTAGTGCAAATCAAATTATGCCAGCACAATCCAAATAGCAACGCATTTTTAACAAAGCATGCATGCAAAAACACAATTTGTATGTAACATCCCAAAATTTACCACAAAAAATTTCATTTTTAATATAGTAATTATAAAACCATTTATCTGAAAACAACCATACTATCAACTCATATCAAAACCAAAGTATCAATAGTCAAAACATGTCATGATAAAACAACATTAGAGTACAAATCCCAAGAACATCATAGTGCAGAAAATCGCGGTGTGATGCGCTGCTATTGTGCCGACTCATTTCCTTTTCTTTAGAAGGACCTGAAACAAAAACTGAAAACCGTAAGCACAATAATGAGTTCCTCCATCATACCACATACCATACAATAACATAATGCCTAGCATATTTGGGTGCTGGCCTCCCATTCGGTCTCTTTCAACCGGTAACTGTCTAGCATATTCGGGTGCTGGTCTACCCATTCGGTCTCTTTCAATCGGTAACTGCCCAACATATCTGGGTGCTTGCTTACCCCTTCAGTCTCTTTCAACCGATAACCGGGGACTATTTCACCCTCTACCACTACCAAATAATACCCTAGCATATACATATAAATCACATACTGCCTAGCATATCTGGGTGTTGGCCTCCCATTCGGTCTCTTTCAACCTGTAACAAGGTCTATCCTACCCTTCCTACCACTATTGCATAATAACATAGCATACTAGCACATAAAGCATAACAGATAGTGACATACCAGACAATTATCACAAAGACAAACATCTAAAATATAATCAAATACTAGTGGGCCGACATTGGTGCTGTCGACCCACTCCTACTGGAAGGTAACTCACCTCAAATGTCGTGAAGTAGCCGAACTACCCTCGGCTCTGGAATCAACTCCTCTCAAACTCCTACACATAAAAATCTCATTTACTTACTCTTTCATACCCATAACCCCATTAAGGGTCTCTGGTCAAAGTCAACATCCTGGTTGACTCAACTCGCCGAGTTGGTCCATTAACTCGTCGAGTTCCATAATCCATAAAACCTTGGAAATCTCGATCCAACTCGTCGAGTTCTTTCATGAACTTGTCGAGTTCCTCCTCATAACATAGTTGGAACATTTCCCTCACAACTCGCCGAGTTCCTCCTTGAACTCGTCGAGTTCCTCAATCTTCAAAGCCCAAAACCATGGCCAACTCGCTGAGTCATCTCCTAGACTCGACGAGTTTTCTCAGTAACAGAAAAGGTTGGGGGACCACGACCCAACTCGCCGAGTTGGATGGACAACTCGTCGTGTCCCCTTAGTCTAAATCCATTTAGTCACTTCCAATGAAGCTCAATGCTTCCAAATCACAGATCTGGTCCCCTTGGACTAAGTTACCACGTAAAGTTGATAACTTTACGTTCATGCATGGTGTCATGAAGCTAGAAACACCCAAAACTAAGCTATATAAAGAGGTCTAGGGCATGGGGAAGGGCCAAGTCTGGATAGAGCTGGCAACTTTAAGCCTCATAAGCTCATGAGTGCCTAGATCTGAAGTCACAACTTCATGATACACTCCAATCCCGAAAATGACTTCAATATGGCCCAAAAGTGACAACATACTACCCTAAATGAAGATCTAAGTAATAGAAAGCCAAGGTATCAACTTTATACCTCAAATGAGTCAGAAATGCAACTCAAACTCCGGATCTACTATCTTCCTCTTGAACCCCCAAGCTTCTCCTTCCTTCTCAAACTTCAAAATCACAAAGAACATAGAACAATGGCTCAAAAACACTCAAAAGTGGATTAGGGTTTCGTGGCTAGGGTTTGCGGTGATGGAGGCTGCAAATGAGGCCAACATTTGGAGGTTAAGGTGTTTAAATAGGGTGCAAAACCCTGAAAAATTAGGGTTTCACTCTGGTAGCCCTACTCGTCGAGTTGAGGCTCTCAACTCGTCGAGTAGACTTCAAGTCCCGTGTCCAAATTCCATTCCTACTCGACGAGTTTGGGGCCACCAACTCTTCGAGTCCCTTTGTGAAAATGAATAATTCGATTTAAAAATACATACCGAGATCCGGGCATTAAAAATCTCTCCAACTTATTTTAGACTTCGTCCTTGAAGTCTGCTGCGTCTGGGAATAGCTCTGGGTAGTGCTCCCTTATCTCGTCCTCCGCCCAAGTCCATTCTGAGCCCTTGCGATGCTGTCATTGCACCTTCACCAACTCAACCCTCTTGTTCCTCAGATCTTTTGTCTTCCTGTCGAGGATGGCTACTGGTCGCTCGATGTAGTTCAAGCTGTCATCCACCTGAATATCCTCTAGAGGCACCACTGTAGAGTCATCTACCAAGCACTTCCGCACCTGGGAGACATGAAAGGTGTTGTGGATCTGACTAAGCTCGGCTGCCAGATCCAGTCGATACGCAACCTTGCCCACTCTGGTCAATACCATGAACGGTCCGATGTACTTGGGGCCCAACTTGCATCGCTTCCTAAATCGGATGACACCTTTCCATGGTGACACATTCAGGATGGCCATATCTCCCACCTGAAACTCCAGGTCCGATCATCGTCTGTCGGCGTAGCTCTTCTGCCGACTCTGGGCCGTCTGGAGTCTACTCCGGACCTGCTGGATCCTCTCGGTCGTCTTGAGTACCACTTCGGTACTCCCCATGACCCTCTGTCCAACCTTACCCTAACATATCGGGGTTCTGCACTTCCTCCCATATAACATCTCGAAGGGAGGACGGTCGATGCTGGCATGGTAGCTATTATTATAGGAAATTTTGCCAAGGGAAGGTAGGTATCCCAGCTACCATCGAAGTCTAAGACACACTCCCGCAGCATATTCTCCAAAGTATGGATGGTCCGCTCACTCTGACCATCCGTCTGCGGGTGAAAAGTCGTGCTAAAGTGCACACGAGTATCCAACTCATCATGAAATTTCTTCCAGAATCTGGAAGTAAATCGTACATCTCGGTCAGAAATCACGGAAACTGGCATTCCGTGTCGAGCTACTACCTCTCTGATGTAGATGTCGGCCAACTTCTCGGCCGAAATGCTCTCCTGAATCGGTATGAAATGGGCACTCTTGGTCAACCGATCCACAATGACCCAAATCGAATCCACTCTCCGTGTGGTCCTGGGAAGCTTTGTAATGAAATCCATAGTAATATCCTCCCATTTCCACACAGAGATATCCAACGGCTGCGTCTTGCCGTGAGGCCTCTAGTGCTCGGCCTTGACCTTCCTGCAGGTCAAGCACCTCTCAACGTACTAGGCTACATCCCGCTTCATGCAGGGCCACCAGTATTCATGACGAAGATCTCTATACATCTTCATCGCCCCGGGATGGATGGAAAATCTGGACTTGTGCGCCTCCTCCATCAGGATTTGGCGCATACCGCCTGCGTATGGAACCCATACTCTGCGGTGAAGTGTCAACAGCCCGCGGCTATTATAGTCGAAGGAGGAAATCTGGCCCACGATACGCTTACTCTTCCGGTGTTCCTCCTTCATAGCCTCCTGCTGGGCCTCCCGGATCTTCTCCAGAAGCGGAGTCACTACTATCATCCTCAGACAGATGTCTCTGATCGGGGCTGCGAATGCCTTGCAACTAAGTGCATCGGCCACAACATTGGCCTTCCCCGGGTGGTAGAGGGTCTCATAGTCATAATCCTTCACCACATCTAACCACCGACGCTGCCTCATGTTCAGATTCGGCTTATCCATGAGGTACCTCAAGCTCTTGTGGTCCTTGTAAATGGTACAACGGACCCCATAGAGGTAGTGTCGCCAAATCTTGAGGGCACAAACAACCGCCCCCAACTCCAGATCGTGCGTCGGGTAGTTCACCTCCTGAAGCTTCAACTGCCTCAAGGCGTAGGCGATGACGTGCCCCCTCTGCATCAACACTGCACCCAAACCCGAAATGGACGCATCGCGGTATACTACAAAATCCTCCACGCCCTCTGGCAAGGCTAAGATCGACGCCTCGCACAACCTCTGCCTCAATATCTCGAACGCCGCCTGCTACTCAGGCCCCCACCGAAATACAACGACCTTCTTCGTCAACCGGGTCAAGGGTACTGCTATCTTGGAGAAGTCCTGAATGAATCTCCGGTAATAGCCTGCTAACCCGAGGAAACTCTGAATCTCAGATGGAGACTTCGGAACCTCCCATCTCATCACGACCTCCACTTTGGCCGGATCGACCAAAATACCGTTCTGGTTGACAAGGTGCCCCAGAAACTGCACCTCGCACAACCAAAACTCACACTTGGAGAACTTGGCATACAAGCTCTCCCTCCTCAGGGTATCCACCACCTCCCGCAAGTATTTCTCATGCTGCTCCTGCGTCTTTGAGTAAACCAAGATGTCATCAATAAAGACGATCACAGACCGATCTAGCATCGGTCTGCATACGCGGTTCATGAGGTCCATGAACGCGACATGGGCATTGGTGAGCCCAAAGGGCATCACCATGAACTCATAGTGGCCATAGCGAGTCCGGAAAGTAGTCTTCTTTACATCCTCATCCCTGACTATCATCTGGTGATAGCCCGAACGCAAATCTTGTTGGATTAGGTGTCTAAGCCCATAACTACAAGTGAGATGTACTTAACCCGATATTAGCATGGTCCTTTTGGGTTGCTTTCACACTGGTGACTAGATATGATGACTACTGAGGAGAGAGACTGATTTATTGTTAAGAATAATAAAATTGGGGTATAAATATGATTTATTAATATATTATATGAATAATATATTAATTTGGAATCATATTATTAATTAGTATTTAATCAGAAATTAATTTGGAATTAATTTTGGGATTAAAGGAACTGATTAAAAGTGCAGGGGCTGTTTTGTAATTATTTGATAGTTGAGGCTTTGGGCCAATGGATCATCTTATTAGGCAAGGGCCTAAAATCCTAGAAGGCTCTAGGAGTTTTCGTCTAAGGCTAAAGGATAAGAGGTCCATGGACTTGCTTATGCCCTAAGCTAAGGGATTAGGGTGTCCACCTTGAAACCCCTAGTTGG